GTCTCTGTTTTCAGTTCTTCTGGATATCAAGTGGTATTTTTATCCAGTTACTTCATATGCTTAGTTGAAGTTTAGAATTCTAGTTGCTGAATCACTTTAATCACCTGAGGCATGTTTTAGAAGAAACACTTGTGTTACATCTGATGCATATTTAAGTTATATGGATCAGTTGTACTGTATTTTAGAGGTGATTGAAGGGATTCTTAATGGAAATGTTTTTTATACTTGATTTCTGCCTAATCCACTGCCTTTGGAACCCAATCTCTGTATAAACTGCAGCTTGATAGTGTTGCTTTCATTTTAAAAAGTAGAAAACATAATTCCTGATGTTTTCTTTCTACATGTCTCTCAGTGCTAATGAAATTAAAAAAAAAAAAATCTGTATCTGATTTCCTAGTTAACAGAGGAGAAGTTTGTGGATTTCCTATTTATTCAGTACATTTTGTCATTCACAGGAACATTCTGGGCAAAGTAAAAGCATATTTCTGTATTTATAACTTCCTTTTTTATAAGGTAATGAAGAGAGGGGGCACAATATTTTAGGGTTGCATCGAACATAGAGTAAGTGTGATGATTTTGAAAGAGCATTGAGTTACGTATTGGAAAATACATTTATTCTATTAATCCCACTATACTCTTAGGGTATAATTTTGGACAAGCCATTTTACCTCTCTGAGTTCATTTTCTTGTCTGACAGATAGTGAAGGTGGTAATACATGCTACCATTTTATAGGGTTGTGATGATTAAGTGAGGTAAAGTACGTGACAACTTTAAATTGGTACATAGATGTTAGGTGGCATTTTATGACCTGAGCTGGTAGAGAAAATGGTTATTAGACATGATATAACTATCTGCTTATGTATTGGATCATCGCTGTGTGTCTGATTAAAAGGTTTCTAAGTTTTGAACTGTAGAAGATGACTGAAGTGAAGGAGTCAGTTTTGTCTCAGAACCTCAACTCACTGGAGAGAGAGAAGCATTTTCTAACCACTCCAACCCAATTTTGGGTATTAAGTCTTCTATTTTACTCTGTTTCGCAAATATTTACATGGTGTTCAGAACTTTATGAATGAATCAGAAATTTGTCAGCATGTATCCCTTTTTTAGCCCAATATACATATTATGTGACATTTCCAAACATTTTATTATTTTTAAATGTTGAAAATGGTATATTTTTATGAGTTGAAGTTTATTTGGTATAGCAGTTTGAAGAGTACTAAAAAATGATTTTTTTGAGGGCTTATCTGTGTGTCCTACGAGACAGACTAGAGACTGGAGGTAGACAAACTACTTTTTTCTTTGGCATATTTTCATGTGTCATACAGTTGGATTTGTTATATTTCTGTAAGAGAGGAAAAGGGACTGCTTTGCTTTATCATATATCCTAGGAGCTGTTTTCTTTTCAGGAACTTGAGTTAGAATGAATAATCTCAAAACCTAAACTTTCTTAAAAAACATCTTTTCAGAACTGAATAAATTCGAAGTTTATCTTTTTGTTTTTCTGAGCTTTCATAGGACTCTGTGATGACAAATAGTGAGAATTTTTGCCTCATCCCATATTAAAAGCCTAAAAGATACCATTAAATACTTGTTGACAGACTGATTCTAGAGCTGGGGCAGGGAAAAGTTAAGCCTAGAGCAAATATCTTTTTTTTTTTTTTTCTTTCTTTTAAGAATAGAATTTAGTGATTCATTGCCTACATATAACACCCACTGTTCATCCCAGCAAGTGTCCTCCTTAATGTCCATTGCCCATTTAGCCCATCCACCCACCCAACACCCATACAGTAACCCTCAGTTTGTTCTATGTAGTTAAGAGTCTCTTATGGTTTGTCTCCCTCTCTATTTTTATATTGTTTTTGCTTCCCTTCCCTTATATTCATCTGTTTTGTATCTTAAATTACACATATGAGTGAAATCATATGATATTTGTCTTTCTCTGACTTATTTCGCTTAGCATAATACACTCTAGTACCGTCCACATTGTTGCAAATGGCAAGATTTCATTCTTTTTGATTGCCAAATAATATTCCATTGAATATATATATATACCACATCTTCTTTATCCATTCATCAGTCAATGGACATTTGGGCTCCTTTCATACTTTGGCTATTGTCGATAGTGCTGCTATAAACATCTGGGTGCATGTGCCCTTTGAAACAGCACTCCTGTATCCTTTGGATACATACCTAGTAGTGCAATTGTTGGGTCATAGAGTAGTTCTATTTTTGATTTTTTGAGGAACCTGCATGCTGTTTTCCAGAGTGGTTGCACCAGTTTGCATTTCTACCAGCATTGCAAAAGGGCTCCTTTTTCTCTGCATCCCCATCAACGTCTGTTGTTGCCTGAGTTGGTAATGTTAGCCATTCTGACAAGTGTGAGAGGTGGTATCTCATGGTGGTTTTGGTTTGTATTTCCCTGATTACAAATGATGTTGAGCATTTTTTCATGTGTCTGGTAGCCACCTTGGTGTCTTCTTTGGAAAAGTATCTATTCATGTCTTTTGCCCATTCTTTCAGTGGATTATTTGCTTTTTGGGTGTTGAGTTTGAGAAGTTATTTATAGATTTTGGATACTAACCTTGTAGCTGATATGTCATTTGCAAATATCTTCTCCCATTCTGTCAGTTAGTTGCCTTTTAGTTTTGCTGTTTCCTTCCCTGTGCTGAAACTTTTTATCTTGATGAGGTCACAGTAGTTCATTTTTGCTTTGTTTCCTTTGCCTCCAGAGATGTGTTGAGTAAGAAGTTACTGCGACCAAGGTCAAAGAGGTTTTTGCCTGTTTTCTCCTTTAGGATTTTGATGGCTTCCTGTCTTACATTTAGGTCTTTCATCCATTTTGAGTTTATATTTGTATGTAATATAAAAAAGTGGTCCAGGTTCATTCTTCTGCATGTCGTCCAGTTTTCCTAACACCATTTGCTGAAGAGTCTGTCTATATTCCATTGGATATTCTTCCCTGCTTTGTCAAAGATTAATTAGCCATACATTTGTGGGTCCGTTTCTGGGTTCTCTATTCTGTTCCTTTGATCTGAGTGTCTGTTTTTGTGTCAGTACCATACTGTCTTGATGATTACAGCTTTGTAATACAGCTTGAAGTCCAGAATTGTGATGCCTGCAACTGTGGAGGCATCTTTGGTTTTCTTTTTCAGGATTGCTTTGGCTCTTCAGAGTCTTTTCTGAACCTGTACAAATTTTAGGATTGTTTGTTCTAGCTCTGTGAAGAATGCTGGTGTTATTTCGGGAGGGATTGCTAGAGCAAGCATGTTGTGGTAACACAAAGTAAGGAAATATTTAAAAAAAAAAAAAAAAAGATAAGAGCATGTCAAAGAGTAATTGGAACCACCTGAAAGCTTACGGTCATGGCCAGTGCTGGAACAATTTGAGCAACAAAATAAATGACATATTGATTGTAACCCAAAGCATATAATAAATATCCATGAATCCATACTGATATAAATAAGATTGAATAAATGTGTAAATGGAGGAAGAGAGACAAAAATTTCATATAGGAGAATTACAAATATATGTAGATGTTCTCTGCTCCATAAGATAGAACATAATTCCACCTTTTCCTCCTTGATTGTGGGCTAGACTTACTCACTTCCAATGAATAGATTATGGAAAAGGAAAAATAGTAACATCATAGTTGAGAAACTGTCAGACAATGCCTTAGCCAACTGATGTAAATTAACATCTCCTGTGATATTCCATGGATATCATTTTCCGCTTGATATGTGTGAAAAGAGGGTCAGTTCACTCTTTCCAAAAGTGGTTTTCTTTCCAAAAACCTGTAACCCTAGTCTAATCACAACAAGTAAAAATCAAACATATCCCGGGGCGCCTGGGTGGCGCAGTCGGTTGGGCGTCCGACTTCAGCCAGGTCACGATCTCGCGGTCCGGGAGTTCGAGCCCCGCGTCGGGCTCTGGGCTGATGGCTCAGAGCCTGGGGCCTGTTTCTGATTCTGTGTCTCCCTCTCTCTCTGCCCCTCCCCCGTTCATGCTCTGTCTCTCTCTGTCCCAAAAATAAATAAACGTTCAAAAAAAAAAAGAAAATTTTAAACATACCCAAATTGAGGGTCATTCTGCAAAATACCTGACCAGCATTCCTCAAAACCATCAGGATCATGGAAAAGAAGTAAAGACAGAAATCTGTTACAGACCAGAGGATGCTAGGGAGACGTGACAAGTTTATGCAGTGTGGTATCCTACATGGAGTTCTGGAATAGAAGAAGGACATTAATGAAAAACTGGTGAATAATATCTGGGCTTAGTTAATAAGAATGTGCAGATGTTGGTTTCTTCATTTTCACAAATGTACCCTGGTGATATAGGATGTTAACAATAGGGGAAACTGGGCAAAGGGTATATAGACAATATCTGTACTATCTTTCAACTTTTTTGTAAATCTAAAATGATTTCAAGATAAAATGTTTATTTAAAAAACTTTGTTGACCATTTTTTTATTATATGGAAATCAGATAGTGTAAAGAATAAAAACTAATTTGTGATAATCAAACTTTCTCCATTTACATGTTTTATTTTAATATTATAATTTTTCATATAAAATTTAATAATGTGCTATGTTACCCCTATTTAAATTTATAAGTTTCTTTTTTCATAAATAGTAGTGTCATCTATATGTAAGATTTAGTGACCATTTAAAAATCATCTTAATACCTGAAACTTTTAAACTATATAGATGGAGGTTAAAAAGGTACAAATTAATAGCTGAATATTTTGAGGGGAAGAAGTTCATAATTTACAATAGGGGTACATAAGATCTAATATTGTGATTGTTATGGCAATTATGATTTTGAAAGTGCTTTTGAAATTGTCATGATATAGCACTTTAAGAACTTAGAAACTTTAAAAGTATTATCAATAAGGCAATACATAAAAAGTAAGCTAATAGAACAAAAGAATACTTAAAACCATTTAAAACGAAATCTTTGTAATTAACTATGAAAATATAAGTACATTTTATATTCTTTTCTAGATTTATTATCTAGGATTGACTTGGATGAACTAATGAAAAAAGATGAACCACCTCTTGATTTTCCGGATACCCTGGAAGGATTTGAATATGCTTTTAATGAAAGTAAGTGGTTGTATGCTACATACAAGATTTATGTATCATGCTAATAGAATCATAGGACAGATGTTATTTGCTACTTTTATTTGCCCGTTAGTGTTTTATGTATTTAAGAAATCATGACTTTTCCCTTCATGGTGAAATTCTTCACTCAAGCAAAAGAACCAAATTGTAATTTCCCATAATTGTCACATCACTTAAACCAATGGACATGAATTTGATTTGACTTATGCATTTCAGCCTTGAGCATTTAACTTGCTGGCATCCGGTTGTAATTCCGAATTAAATTATATAGAAAGATGCTACTTTTCCACATTTTTAAAATGAAATGACTAGCAATTATTATCTTTGACTATATTTTAAAGCATAATACTCAATTTTCCATGATTTTTTTCAGGCAACATCCTTATTTTAAAATTTATTAATTAAGTTATGAATAAGGTAAACTTTCCACTTGGGATTTGGGAGAACATACCATAAGTTACAGGGATGTTTCTGGAACAAAGAATTGTGATTCACTGAATTGATAACATGCTGTTGTACCTGAAGGGCATTGCTGTTACAAGCTAGGTAGCATTTGAGGTGTAGCTTTCTGTTCGTTGCTCCATACCCACTACATTGGTGATCTGTTATCATGTCATAGTAGATATCCCTTTGCATTATCAGTTATAGGTATCAGCTTATATAATGATGGTCTCTGTATACTAGAAAATTAAGTGGATTTAAACAGATGATATTAGAAACTTTGATCTCTTTTCTGATATTTTCATGCTTTTTTTAGTAAAGGATATCTTATGCCAAAATATGTATGAGTAGTAATATTTTGTTTTTTTTTTAATTTCTTTATATTTTAAATTTTTTTTTTTTCTTCAACGTTTATTTATTTTTGGGACAGAGAGAGAGACAGAGCATGAACGGGGGAGGGGCAGAGAGAGAGGGAGACACAGAATCGGAAACAGGCTCCAGGCTCCGAGCCATCAGCCCAGAGCCCGACGCGGGGCTCGAACTCCCGGACCGCGAGATCGTGACCTGGCTGAAGTCGGATGCTTAACCGACTGCGCCACCCAGGCGCCCCAATTTCTTTATATTTTAATTGACAGAACTAAATGATCACTCAGACTAACATTGCCTTTTTTCCTTTGAAATGATTATTAGATTTTCTCAGAACAGGGATGGGTTGGGATATTGGTATTGTGGCTAAATCATAGAACTATGTTTGCTCTATGGATATCGGACATCATTTTTCATCAAAGTCTATGTTTCATCTTCCTTGAATATTTCTTTTTTTTTTTTT